TGCCTTTTATTCAAACATTATAAAAGATTTTATTTATATTTCACAAATTGCAGGCCCAAAATTTTAATAAAAAAAAAAACCACACACAAGCATAATTACATCATTATGCCACTTTCGGACTGCGTGGATGATCTGTTGATGCCTGAAAACGAGAACAAACTCACTGCTACCTCATCCCATGCCTGCTTCACCTCGAAAATCTTTGGTAGAACAGTGCTGCTCCCAAAGATGATATGCGCATTATTTTCACTTTCCGCACAAGCACGTCCGTTTCCTTGGCCGAAAAGCGATTTGGTTTTTCAGGCAAACGCACGAAATAGCAATCCGCAGTAGATTATGCACCGCTGCCTTTTAAAGGTGAGGTGACGTTCCATTCCGGGGTGGCTTTCCAGAAAGCGATCATTCTTAGCAAATAACGAACAAGATAACAAACGGCGTGAGTGAGGTCTAAGTGTGTTTCCAGAAACCCTTTGTTATTCCAGAATTAACAGATTAGTTCTTTGTTAGCTCCTCCCCAGCCTCTGCATAAGAAAAGCACAGACTGTCGATAACAGGAACATCGATCCCACATATTTCAATGGTGAAATGTTATATGCGTTACCATTTGTGAGGATTCTGCAGCTTTACTTGTTTCACCTTTCATTTAGCAATAGCACATTTTGTCTTTTGGACTCGTCTTGGTAACAATACATGGTGATACACCCAGACCAGTGATGCTCTAATTTAATCCTTATCTTTCTACATTTGGTAGGTATTCAGGTATTAATCAGTATCAGTATCCATTATGCTTTTTGATATGATATACAGTGCCTGTTATTTTCTGCCTATCGTGTCTGTCTGGCCGTCCCATCTCCTCCCCAGCGAATGTCATCGTCAGTCATTGTATAAAGTACCCGCTTGTCTTATGCTCCCCAGTTCAGTCATTGTCTTCACTCACTTGCCTGTGGTGATCTCTTTGCCAGTCAGTGTTGCTCCTTTCCCCAGCGGCTGGCAGCATTTGCCTTTGTAAGAGTGTGTCACATGGCTAGTTTCCCAGTACCTCGTGTTCTGACCCCAAGCAGTTCTTTTGTTTCTGTTCGTTCTGTTTTGTTCTTCAAATAAATCCCTTAAGTTTTTCCCCTATGGTAACATATGGGTTAAACCGCATTTTTTTTTTTAAACTTTCACTTAAATTACATGCACACATAGGTATTGTTACATACACCCCGACGTGAACATACCGGCTCATTAGGAGAAGTTGCCGCACCTATCACTGGCCCTTTAAAAACCTGGGTAATGTTGATCCATGTGGTGACTTACTGAGCATTTACTGTTAGTCTCTTGTCCAGCCCTGACCCAATCCACCTGCTGTTCCGGTCCGTTCCTGTATACCCCCGATTCCTGTCTCATGCCTGCCATGGGACCCAGATACATTGCTTCACTCCACATTCTGAGCCAGGTGGGACCCATAACTTCCCTGCATCTACCAGATCTCACCATTGTTCCACATGTATCTCCTGAAGCCCGTCTGGTACAGCGTAGCCCATCCTCAGCGAGGGTCTGCCTCCGCCCGTGCTGCTTGGTGACAGTGAGGCAGGGGAAGCTGCAGTAGGTACCTAGTGAGCTGGGAGGGTTATGGTCCAAAGGAACAGGCCTGGTTGCCAGCAGCAGACGTGCCCTTAACCCTGTGCAGATTGCTGACTTCGACTCTGACCACACCAACATGCCTGCTCCCCGGCCTACTTTCCTCAGTTCCTTGGCGGCTGTTGGGGCGGGGGAGGGGGGGGGGAGTTCTGTCACAGCCCCCCTCGTGAATCAACACACCAGCTTGTTAGAAGAAGGTACTGCACTTGGCACCGGACCTTTAAAGACCTGGGGTCTCATTTATAACCGTTGTGTACGCACAAAATGGGACCTAAAAGATGCGTACGCCTCTTTCTACGCAAACATTGCGATCTATAGAAACAAACTTGATGGCAGAATGTGCGCATATGTACGTCAACTCTGACCCATGCGTGTGAACATTTTGGAGAAAAAAATACGACCGCGGCTGAAGAGGGTGCGCAAAAACGTGAGTGGCATCAGTACATAAATAATAATTCCTAGTGCTAGTGAGTCATACGCCGTACATTTCATTTCACTTATTCAGTCACATATTTATAACAGTGAATAAATATATAAGCAAAATATATAATCCGACACAAATCTTAACTTAATCTACACTTTTAATTTATGCACTGCAGCTGTTGAAATGTAAATGGATAAGTGGTGGTTGTGATTATCACGATCATTTGGGCACGGTGTGAAACAATCAGTGTCATTGCTGAAAACACATAAATACAGCGATCACATTTGTGCACAACATAACATAATGGATGCACTGGCATTGTTAGAAGATTATGCCAATGTCAGAATTAGAAGAGAACGGGTGTTCAGGGACCATGAAGATTTTTTGGCCCATGATGATGACTGGCTCATAAGCCGATTTAGATTACCTAGGTGTGTGCTTTTGGAGCTGAACTAGGTCCAATGTTAGAGAGACCAACTCGACGGAACCGCACAATCCTGGTACAAATACAGGTACTGACAACCCTGGGGTTCCTTTCAGATGGCTGTTACCAGCAGGAATTAGCCGACAGGTATATGTTACAATCAACAATAAAATTGTGAATTTGTTCTAAAGCTTGTTTAGGAAATACAATAATAACCTAATTGTGTTTAATTGTATTCTAGGTCTGGGATATCACAACCATCAGTAAGCTCAATAATACCTGTCGTTTTGGATGGGATTATTAAAATGACTAGTAGATACATTAAGTTGCCTTACACTGTGGGAGAACAAGCCAACATCAAAAGGCAATTTGCAACAATGTCCGGTTTCCAAATGTAATCGGCGCAATTTACTGCACTCACGTTGCAATGAGGACTCCATATGAAAACAAATGTATTTACGTGAATAGAAAACATGCGCATTCTATAAATGTGCAAGTTATTTGTAATGCTGATATGGTCCTGACAAACATGATTGCACGATGGCCTGGAACACAGCAGTGAAGGGAGCAGACTGCAGGCTGGCTTCTTGGTAAGGTGATAAAAACATTGTGTAATTTATAACTATTCATTGTTCATGTATTGAATTGTTCTGTTATGAAATGCAGGTGACAGCGGCTACCCTCTCAAGCGCTGGCTCCTCACCCCCCTTTCAAGACCCCCAGAGCACACAGGAAAATCGCTATAACGATGCTCACGCTCGTGTGTGCACCGCTGTGGAGCGTGCGATCGGGCTACTGAATTGCAGATGGCGATGTTTGGACGCGTCAGACATGCTTTTTCGATGCGCTGCAATTCTTTTTTTTTTATAATCACTTTCAAATCTGATCACTTTTTTTCAGGCACCGTCCTGTTTGCAGCACTCACTTCCTTCACAGCATTCGTTACCTGTTGCCACTCACTGCCTTCCTTTTTGTTTGTGACGCCACTACTGTGACCACCAAACAAAATATTTTTTCTGCTTTCCACTTCACCCACAAGCACATCTATCTCGGTTTCAGAAAAAATTCTCTTTTTACTTTTCCGCTCGGTTGCTATGATGCCAAGAGTTTTTCAGGTTTACATCAGAGGCTTAAATATGCATGAGGTGATTTGCATTGACCATGTGTGGTTGAACGGGGGCGTGTAGAGGGTGGAATATGCGGCAAATCCGCGTGCGCACAATCCCAGGTAGAGTGCGATTTATAAAGCGTATACGACCAAACTGCTGACTGGCTTCTGATTGCTTTGGTTTCAATAAAACCCTGCTTGCTCGGCCCTGGGTCTCTCCCGAGTATTCTTTGTCATGACAGGTATCAATATTATTTTACAGAATTAAATTTTAAAGTGAATCAAAATACAAGACTTGAGAATGTGCTAACATTTTTTGGCACCAACAGTAGGCTCATTAAATTAGTCATCTAAAACTGCCAAAATTTTCAATCTTGAAAGTCAAAATCAATATAACTGTTGAAAAGGCTAAATGAAAAGTTAATTAAATGATTAACTTATTATCTTTACGTAAACTTACCTTTTGAGATTTTTTACATGATAGAATTTGTGAGTCTTCAGAAAAACGGAATATTTCTTCAATGGAGCATGGTGACAAATATGAAGCCATGTTGCATGCAAATCAACACTGATCAACAATAGCACAAGGACAGATCAGACAAATACACAAGCAGAACAAAAAAAGGGAATCATCAGTGGTTAAACACAATGAGAAACAAGTGAAAACAAAGGAGACACACCATTACACCACCACCACCAGCCTGCACAGTGGTAACAAGGCATGATGGATCCATGTTCTCATTCTGTTTAGCCCAAATTCTGATCATCTGAATGTCTCAACAGAAATCGAGACTCATCAGACCAGGCAACATTTTTCCAGTCTTCAATTATCCAATTTTGGTGAGCTCGTGCAAATTGTAGCCTCTTTTTCCTATTTGTAGTGGAGATGAGTGGTACCCGGTGGGGTCTTCTGCTGTTGTAGCCCATCCGCCTCAAGGTTGTGCGTGTTGTGGCTTCACAAATGCTTTGCTGCATACCTCGGTTGTAACGAGTGGTTATTTCAGTCAAAGTTGCTCTTCTATCAGCTTGAATCAGTCAGGCCATTCTCCTCTGACCTCTAGCATCAACAAGGCATTTTCGCCCACAGGACTGCCGCATACTGGATGTTTTTCCCTTTGCACACCATTCTTTGTAAACCCTAGAAATGGTTGTGCGTGAAAATCCCAGTAACTGAGCAGATTGTGAAATACTCAGACCGGCCCGTCTGGCACCAACAACCATGCCACGCTCAAAATTGCTTAAATCACCTTTCTTTCCCATTCTGACATTCAGTTTGGAGTTCAGGAGATTGTCTTGACCAGGACCACACCCCTAAATGCATTGAAGCAACTGCCATGTGATTGGTTGATTAGATAATTGCATTAATGAGAAATTGAACAGGTGTTCCTAATAATTCTTTAGGTGAGTGTATACTATCATTAAGCATAAATGTACATATCTCTATATACAACTTGACACTTATTTTCAAGGTGTCTGAATGTGACCAGTGTCAAAGAGTGGGGCCGCCTTTGAGTGCAGTTAAAACGCTGGATTGCATAAAGGTGACCATCTGTTGTAATGCACTGTATTTTATTAATTCACTGCAGTATTTATTCTGGGTAATCAAATATTACTGTATATTACTGACAGGTATCTGCTGTTTGGGAGCTTGTTGGAATTGACCTCACAGGTCCACTTCCAAAAACATCCTCTGGCTTTCAATATATTTTAACGGCAACCGACTATTTTTCCAAGTGGGTGGAGGCCTTCCCTCAAAAGACAAAGTCTGCAGTGGAAGTAGCGAAAAACCTCGGTACGCTTATTTAAAGACATGGTTGTTCCCTGCGCATACTATCAGACCAAGGACGGGAGTTTGTAAATCAAGTAAGCTGTTCTATATACATTTTGTAATGGTTATGAGAAGTTTACCAGCTTGATTTTATACAAAATATAACTGTAATGTGCTTAATTTTCCTTTTAGATTAACACCAATCTCTGCAAACAGCTGTCCATTGAGAGGAGTGTAACTGCTGCCTACCACCCCCAGACAAATGGGCTTGATGAGAAGACCAATGACAACATCAAACGGTAAAAATGCCATGATATTCTTTGCTTTGTTTTTTTGGTAACTTTTATTATTATTTGGCGCCATGCTTTGTTTTAAAACATTTTTGTTGTTTGTTATAATTGTTTAACATCAGAGAAGTGTTGAATTTGGATAGTTTGCATCTTGAAATACATCCATCTCCAGTTAAAGTAGAACTTTGTGTGTCCCTAAATTATGAGAATTAATTTATTTACTATAGAGTCCAATTTCCTGTATTATTAATGCACATATATTTAAAAATTCTTCTTCATAGATCACTAAAAAAGCTTGTGAATCAGCAGCAGGATGACTGGGACCTATACCTCAATGCAACACTTTTTTCACTGCGATCAAAAGTGCACACCACAACAAAATTCTCACCATTTTGTTAATGTACGGAAGAGAGGCTAGATTTCCTTCTGAAGTGCCTGTTGAAATGCCGGTAGGTTTTTGTCTGTCTGGCTATTTGTCTATCAAAAAAAAAAAAAAAAAGCCTTGACACTAGGGCTAGGTGACATACCAGTGCATACTGATGTACTGTATGTACTGGTATTCAGCCTAAAAAAAATTATATATATAATATTTCAAATGAAGTTAACTTGGGATTGCAAATGAGTACCTTTCTGTAAATGAGCATCTTTTTCGTATGTAATATTGTGTAATAGTGCATGCTGTATATTGCAAAAATCATTCTCTGATTTTACAATGTAGCTGTCTACATTAACACTCCATGAAGACTACAGTCCATTTGTTATGGAGAAAAAAAAAGCTCAAGATGGCACAAGAGAAAAGGTTGAGGAAAATATCACACAGTCACAACAGAAAATGAAAGAAGCATTTGCAAAAAGAGTTCAGAAAAAGTACAGAAATGTCGAGTTTAAAGAGGGAGATGAAGTGCTTTTGCTTAATGTGCGAAAGAGAAGTAGGAAAGGAGGAAGAATGGAGGCAGATTACACTGGACCCTACATCATTCAGGCACTTTCAGGGAAGACTGCCATTTACTAACAATTGTTCTTTGATTTAAACAGGTCATTGATGCATACCTTCACTGTATTCTGAAACAAAGCATGGTAAACATCAACAGTTTTATAAAGCAAAATTCTTTATTGTGTTTATCGGTCATTTGAACTTTTGTTAGAAATCTTTCACAATAACAACTATATAATACTGTTACAGACACCTGTGCATAAGTTGGATGCAGTAATTGGACCATCTACTGTATCTTTCATCTTGGCCAGTTCAGAGTCGTTCAAAAGGTAATTAACTAAATTGCACTTTAATTTACTATGTTATACTCGTTAATTTTAAATTTCAGTTGTGACTTAAGTGTTCTCTGCTCTTTTAAAAGATGAAGTTACCCGATTCTTCAACTTGGATTTGCCCATTCAATGTCGGATGTCACTGGATTTTAGTGGTACTTCTTTTCTTAATTCTGGATTTACTAAACTCATATTTTTTCACAGAAATTTGTTGCTATGTATATATCACAACTGAAATATACAAATAGTTTTAAGACGTCTCAGAGTAACTCGCTCATACTGTAAACTTTTGACAGATTGTCCAGATGGATGAAAAAACAGTCATTGTGATAGACCCCCTTGGGAATGAAATGCATTATGAAAGAAAAATTCTCCGTAATTGGAGGTAATGTTAACCATGGCATAGTTGTTTGTATTACTGCTTTTTGTCATACTTTTGTTTTGTTAGTTTTGAATATTTTAAAATGTTGCTAAACCAAAAATTTGGGTGATTGCACAGAAATTTTTTGAAGACAAGAAATGCCAGTGATGGGCAGTGGAGAACACAGACCATACCCCACAAACTGCAGCAGGACACCTCTAGTTGTGGAGTCCTAATTCTGAAGGTATGAACAATACTGATTTATGCACTTCAGGTGAATGTGTATATCTTAACACTTACACTGACTTTATGTAGTTTGCAGAACACTATCTAAAAGGCAGAAACATTAACCTTGTTGAAACCAACATCGAAGAGATCTCAGTTGCAAGACTTGAAATTGCAACCACACTTCTGAAATGCCAAGGTAACCATTATAAAGTATATCTAGAGAAATTTGCTTAGTCTGAATAATGTGTCTAGTGTGAGTATATCCAAGTGAAAGTGATACCAAGTCTTGCAGCAAATATGTCTAATTTTAAAAATGTTGTATTGTACTATCTTTGTTTTTATTCCAGATACTGTGGAGGATTACTGTGTTTCCTGCAATATGCTGCAATCTGATGCTGACAAAAGCATAACTGAAATGGTAAAAAGACAATGATAAACTGTACACTGAAACACTGAAATCCTACTTTTGCATTACATTATACATATTCATAAACAATCTACCTGCCTTACTAATGTGGTGTGTTTCCACTTTAAAGGTACAGTGTGACTTCTGTTCCAGATGGACACACATGGAATGTGCGACACAATTCACTGCAATTTTTAAATTTAAAAAGTGCCAGTTAAATGTTTAATTTGTACAGTAGTGAATATTTACTATAGTTTTGGTTTTACGGTGTGTGTGTGTGTGTGTGTGTGTATATATATATATATGTAATATGTACAGTATAATATGTATCATAGTTCCCTTTTGAAACCCAGCTCTATTAAAGCTTGTACTGTATTTCTTCTTGACCAAGTTTTTCTTGTGTTTCTTATTTTATGGATAAGTATTGCTTAACAATATAAAACATTGTTGGCATTTTTTTATGGTTATTTTGTCAACTTATATCCATTAAACTTTTCACACTTTTAAAACTTACTTTATACTTTAGTATTTTAAACTGTTTCAAATTAAGTATACTTATATTTCTTTATATTTTAATATATTCCTACAAAAGCATATTTTCTATATAATACATGTCTTATACATAATGTATGATTAGGATGTTTAGAGAAGTATTTCCCATTTCGAACACCATACCACTGTGTTATACTATAGGTATGTCATTCTGTCAGCGTAAATGTTCCTATCAGAACACCATACCACTGTGTACTATAGGTATGTCATTCTGTCAGCGTAAATGTTCCTATCAGAACACCATACCACTGTGTTCTATAGGTATGTCATTCTGTCAGCGTAAATGTTCCTATCAGAATGGAATACCATTCGTAGGTATGTTGTTTTGATAAAGTAGCCTAAACCGATAGACATAGCTATCAATTTGCACTACCGGTATGCTATTCTGGCAAAGTATGCCAAAATTTCAGAATACCGGCATACCTGGATGATCCGTACGACATTGGCACGTGAATCGTGAGGGGCTCTCTCTTTTAATATGTATGAAATGGAGCAATGACATATAATATGCATACAATGTATTAATTAATAGCTGTTACAGAGAAAGTTATTCTGAAAACCCAAGTGGTGTGGATTGTTCCCTGTTGTCCACTGATCAAAGCACAATTCACTAGATGTGCCTGTCTTGTCTAGTTTTAAAGTTATTAACCCATTCATGTATTGTCCCATTGCACAGTATACGGATACATTTGAACATTTAAAAATTAATCAAAATTTGTATGTAAAGCAATCTGGGAAACAAAGGGGTGTGCAACAGTTGCCCTGAGCCCAAAATACTGAACCACCATGTCATTACAGCTGAAAGGACCTATTATATTAGCTACAGTATTAACATGATTTGGCACAAATCACGAAATGTTTTGAAGCAGAAAAATAATCGGTGTGCATCGATGTCTGTGTACTGGACATCACAATTCTGTCATTAAAAACGCCCCCTTTACTTCTGTAAAGATATTAAAGCCAGAAAACTGAATATGGAATATGAGGCTAACTTAACCGCAGTTACAGGTTCCTAGTCACTTTCTCACTACACATACTGTATGCTTCTGTTTTATCCCGTTGTAAATCATTTA